CGTGTACGTTCACTAAACTGCCTACTAGACAGAATCACTACCAAAGATTCTCTACACGATCTTTGCTACTACTACTACTACTACTACTACTACTACTACTACTACTACTACTACTACTACATGTACATGTACTACTACGAGACTGTACGAGAGAGTACCACTCAGGCAAAGATAGTGTAACTCTTACTCAGCCACGTTGTGTACACACTTTTTATACCCCAAATTTGACCCGGAAGTCCATTCAGAGGATTTGACCTTTTCACTTGACCAAAGTGTGCCAAAATGGTAGCCTAGCTTTTGCCCCTCCATGACGGAAAAATCTGGCCCTCATTCAAACCATTGGGATTGAGCAAAATTTTGCGTATTGTGCTTTGTTCTTACAATATTCATTATGATTATGATTTATAAGTTGTACACTGAGACAAAACTGCACTAAATGAGAAAGGTGCACCATTATGAAAGTGGAACGAACTCAGTTGCCTGAAAAGGGTAGTTTGAGCATGTGTGGCCTAAATAAGCTAAACTCCTCTCCCTTACCTTATTTAGGCCATATGTGGCCTAAATAAGCACTCCCAAAAATTTTATACAGTTTTCGACAAAGCATGTTTTCCCCGACCCAGTTGGCCCTGCAATTACACAGGTAAATGGATGCTTCAAGCGAGGGTCCATTCTCCGCTATAATGGTCAATCAAGGTGATGTAGGACATGAATACTTCCCACTCTTTTCTTTCAAGCTGAATGCCTTTGATGGTTGGCTGCTCTCCTAAAAATTCCCGTATATCAACGAAAGCTCCCCTGCAATACGGAAAACAGACGCTGACTCTGAGCCGACCACCTAGCTCGTACATGTACTGATTTTGGCAAGTAGAAGTCGAATTTTTCTCAACGACAGTGACTTCTGTAGTAGTAGCCTACTGTCAATAGGGTGACTCTTAGCTGTAGCCAAGACATACCGTAATAAATAAATACACTGCTCACAGAACACAATCACCGTCCTGCGCATTTCCCCCTCTCCCCTAAATTTCCAACGGTTCTGTACTGACTCCATCTTCAAGAACTTTCCTTTTAATGTAGAGGTAAGAAAGTGATGCCCGCTCTTGTTCGTAGGTAAAGACTACCTTTCCGTCTGTACGAAATCCCCTATTTATAACCACCCCGTTTTCGGTAGACTGTAAAACTCGTAAATATTTTGATCTGTTCAGTGTATTCAGTGACTTTTTCAGTCCTTTAGCAGTAACTTTAGCGTTAGTTTCTTCACCCGTATCATCCACGCTGAAACAGTAGTAAGTCTTACTACACATAGTTATGATACCATCCCCTTTGTATTCCAACTTGAACAGTCCTGGTGTTCTTTTATCATCTTTGAATCGCTGGACACAACAAGGTTTGTTCGCCACCCAAGGCTCTCCCCTACATTTGACTTTGACGAAATTTGAACGGTGGGCATCACAAGCTGGAGAAGGAAATCTCTTATGGTATGACTCAAAAAAGGACTCTCTGGTATTCTCTTTTACCACGTCCTCGAGGGAAGACCCCGCGATGGCAAAATATAAACTGTGTGTGTCCATCTGACACAATTGGAAGTTATCTTTCTAACAAATTTATTTAGACAGTCGTAGTAAAACTCGAGCATGCGCTGTTTTGCGTACTGATAAACAAAATACCCTACTTGGATAGGGAGATTCCATATTACTTTTGGCTTTCGCATTTCAACTTCATCAATTTCTTCGTCCATGGGGGTCAATGTGGAAAAAAAAGGGTCGTTAATATATTTATTTGAGTCCGCCACATAGCGGACACGGTGATGCTTATCAAGGGCTTCCAGTGTCTTACCATAGGCTGAGTTGCCTAAAAGTTTAAATGTCTCTGCGAGAATAGGCCTACTGCAGTCGAGTTTGTTGTCCCCGTCCCGTCTGGCTTTTGTGACAGAATCTCCAAACTGTTTGAAGCAAGCATTCGGACAGAATTCTACGACTTGTTGAATATCGTGAACTTGTAAGCCGTGGTCCAAATACCACACGAGTAACGGGGTTGCCAGTTAGATTCCTTTCCCGAAGAGGCTCCCTACTAGAGTACGTCTGGGCTGCGCTAATAGCTTATGCTGTGCACAATACTTTTTCATGTGCTCGCCGATATCGTCTCTCGAAACCAGAACATTTTTGAAAATAGGTGGCATCTCGCTGAAAACATTTCGGAGACACTTGGGTACTTCGATATATCGCATTGAACGAGTCTGAACAACTTTCCCTCTTTTATATATACAGCATGGATAAAGTCTTCCTGCAAAACTGTACTTTGGCCGTGGAACGGGGAGCGGAAAATGAAGTTTCTCTTTCATTCTCCATTCCGTGCGGTTTGCTTTTGTGTCTATCCAATGCCACCTTACTCCCAAACAAACGTCCGCAAGGACCACACATGTACTTCCTTTAATTTTGTGCTTGTGAACAGAATTTCTATGACTCTTTGACACAAATCTCTTTGAACATGCTTTACAGAATAAGTTTTTCTCAGGTTCCATTTTCTCTCTCTCTCTCTCTCTCTCTCTCTCTCTCTCTCTCTCTCTCTCTCTGTGTGTGTGTGTGTGTGTGTGTGTGTGTGTGTGTGTGTATGTGTGTGTGTGTGTGTGTGTGTGTGTGTGTGTGTGTGTGTGTGTGTGTGTGTGTGAGTAGCAGGTAGAGTCTACGATCACTAGACAAAATACGTACAAATGAATACAAGCTCAAAGATTTTATTTCATTTTATTAAATCTTTTTTTACACTGATCGTCAGAATATTTGGGTTGAAAAATAAAACGACGTCGCTACAGTTTAAAGCTGAAGAACTCGCATGGCTCTTCGTCGTTGTTCGGCTACCAGAGGTTTCAGTTCTACCAGTTTCCAAAGAGTCCATAGTCGAAAATATCGAGGTGGCGTTTGTCAACAACTAACCAAACTGTTTTCTTGACAAAACAATTAACACCACTTCTAGTTGGAAGTACAATACTTCTTCCAGATGATTCCACGACTTTACACTTCACAATTTTCAAATCGGATTCTCCCTTTTCCGATCTCACCGTTGCATAATACTCTTGTCCCAAAGGAAAACTCAAAGCTGACTTCTTATTATTCATTCTTAAAGAAGTTAGTTGTCAAAAATGTCTGACATGAAAAAACAACAGTTGCTGTTGCAGTCTTTCGGTTTCATAAATGCCTGGTGTCTTTGCTGTCTCCAGAATTTATACTTGCACATCGCTCAATAATATATAGTATATTATATCGCTGTCATTCGCCTAAATTTAGCCGAATATCCGTCCTTCTCGTCTTTCACGCAAAACAAAAAACTTGTACCTTCTTAAACTCCCCACCTACAAGATGATAACAGAGTTGACATGAAAATAATTAACTTTGTCGATAAAGAGCGCACATTCACGCTCGGCAAAACATCGAATTCTAATACAATCTCCATTTTCCTGAGAAGCATTCAGCACAAGCTGCAATTAACCCCTCCTAAAACACTAATGTACTCCCGAGATTTTCCCCCGCTTTCTATCGACGGGTACCCATACAACTCCTACCAATATTATATTTGTAAGTCCTAGATTTTACTTCCCTTCACACTGAAAACTTCTTTACTACCAAAATATTTTCTACTCCCCTTTGTACTGCTAGCGCCTGATACTACCGAACTACATGTACAGTATTTTCTAAGTCCAACCCATCACAGACATGTATTCCATCATACAATGACAAATTTTTTCTAAGTTTTTTTTTTCATTTCAACTAATGAAAACGTTGTCTCAGTTCTTTACATTACAAGATGGACATTATTCTAACTCCATTTCAGCCCTCTAAGAAAACACTCCCAAACAACGACATTTGTTTCTTACATGAAAGTCATTCCAAATTTCACGCTCTCGGGAAAAAAAACCCCAGCTGGGCGACATGACCATGGGGCATCCTGGGCCAGTTGACCCAGTATAACTACTCATGGCATGGGGATTGGGGATTACAGCAGCGCTCATACCTACTCAACCGAAGAAAACGTTCATACCCCGTCATCAGTGTAAAAATCTATCACATTCCAGGTGGTTCTATACTATAGGGCAGCCTCTGGGAGCGCGAAGACTGGAATACAACTGAGTTTCATTCTTTCTTTAACTTTTAGAGAGTTTCTTGAAATTTATCAGTGCTCTTTCAGAAACCATTTTTCAGCCACAGTGAATCTGGTAAACTCTTTTCAATTCTTATGGACAAGAAATCAGTGCTAGATCTACACATACTTCTCCAAAACTGTGAGATATTTATGTAAATTAGGCTACAGTTCAATGAAAAGCACCAATATACCTGCAAGAAAAATGAACTATATTGCTCTCCAGCCTGCAAAATGTCTTCTTCTTCTTCTTCTTCTTCTTCTTGTCCTCCTCCTTGTCGTCGTCGTCGTCGTCGTCCTCCTCCTTCTTCTTCTCACCCTCTTCCTCCTCCTCTTTCTTCTTCTCCTCCCCCTCCTTCTTCTCCTCCCCCTCCTCCTCCTCCTCCTCCTTGTCTACATAACAAGACTGTCCACTGTCCACTCCTCTCTTTGAGCCAATTAAAAAGCGAAGGGCCATTAAAAAGAGTGTCCTCTAAATTCGGTGGCGCCCTCTTCGCAAATGCGCACCCTTTGCGAACAGAGTTACCCTACTTGTGTTTAAAAAAATCAAAGTGAAACTAACAAGTTTTTGAAGAAATAAAAATTCAAATTTCGGAAGAACGCTTTTCTAAAATGGTTAGGCCTACGCTGACAAAAAAAAACTCTTCCGGAGAAACGGGCGACTGTTTCATCGTTTCATTTGACTTTAGAATGAGAGGCGAGAGGTCATTAAAATATTATTTTTTAAAAACACCTAAAACTACGCACTGAACGAACCCGAACAGCTGATGAACAGCAGTCGATCTGCGCACGCAGGAGGTGCTAGGCCTATCTTAATCTTCTTCTGGAGGAACGAAAGAGAGCTTCAAAACAGACTTGCAGCGCCATCTGAAGCAAAGAGCGGACTTCCGGCGGACACATTTTTGGCTGAGTGGACCATCTTGATATGTGCTATCGTTATCCTTCTTGTCTACATTTTGACATTACTACTCTAACTTTTTTGACTCACCATTAAAAATCTGAGGTTTTAAGACTCAAAATCAACCATTTCGGATAAGAAAAATACATTTTAAGGAACAGACTCCCGTGCAGTGGTGTGAGATTGGTGTTTTGTGAGATACGTCATGCGATTCTGACATTTTTTGGTATCGATATTTCACTATTTCGATACTATACCATTAAACGGCATTTTACTAGCCTAAACAAATTTTATAGAGGAAGGTTTCTGATTCAAATGACTCCAAAATCGTTTCTGCTGCAATTTTTTTTACCCCCATAGTGTAATTCACAGCTTAAGTTATTCGCCTAAGATAGATCTTCTAGATCTAGATCAAGGAGTTTACAGTAAGAGGTTCGTTACAGCAACTAATCTAGATCTCTCTAGGCTAGATCTCTAGACACTCTGATCTGGATAACGCTGCAGTCGGTGTTGTGAAGCTCTCTTTCGTTTCTTGGGAAGAAGAACAAGAAAAGCATAGCACGCCATTACTATTCCGAGTATTCGGTACGCACGTAGCAGTTTGCTATTGTTCAATGTTCATTATTTTGTTTTGGTTTAGTGAACCAGCTTGTAGTAAGTTGTAGATCTCTAGATCGACTTGGAAATTGAAGAGACAACTTTGTAGGCCTAGACTTAGATCTAGACCTAGTGCAGGGTCTTTGATCAGAGCCAAGGCCAACATGGATACAGATCTGGGGGCAAACGAAACGGTAGTCGATCTTCCAAAACGTAAAAGACGACTGAAAGGCCAGTGGTGCTCTGCAGTGAATTGTAATAATGAACGATATAGAAGACCGGACCTTTCATTTTTTCGGTTTCCTAAGGATAAGGTGAGGTGCCGTAAGTGGGTGGTGAACTGCCGAAGACAGGATTTGCTAGGCAAGTCACCAGAGAGTCTCTCCATTGGTAACGTACTCTGCTCAGAACACTTTGAGGACTCGGAGTTTATGAACAGTGTGAGGAGAAATCGGCTGAATCGTAACAATACAGCTGTACCAACGCTGTTCAATCTCAATGTGCCCAATCATCCACGTAGAACTGCTCAAGAAGTAGATCTAGATCTAGAAGGAAACAGATCTCCTTCAAGTTCAAGAATATCAAGATCTACTGAGTCTACTGTGCTAACAACAAAATGTTCAAGCTCTTCAAGAACATCAGAGGAAATTTCTCAAACTCAAACGACTCAAACGTCATTTCCTCAGGTAAAATAATGGTTTTTTAAAATAAACGAAGTGACTATTTCTCCGAACGTTCGGAGAAATAGTGCCGATCTTTATTTCTATTCTATCTAGAGTCTAGAGTAATCGTACCGGTTCGGGCAGCACGTTTTTTTTTTTCGAAGCCAACTTTCATTCCGTCATTCTGCGAGGTCTGGGAAGGAGCAAATCAAAAGTGGTATCTGTTCTTGATTGTTTGCCTATTTGCGAGAGTTCGGCGCCAACTTTCATTCCGTCATTCTGCGAGGTCTGGGAAGGAGCAAATCAAAAGTGGTATCTGTTCTCAGCTTCTCCTCCGGCCTTGTGCCCACTGGTTTAGCGAGGCGGGTACTGCCTGAGGCACCCGAGAGACGGAGAAATCTGACCCTCTTTTCTATTGAGTGGACGGTTATCGTCCATTAAAAAAAAAAACGGAGCAAATTTTTGGGTTTAGATCTATTTCAATTTTCAAGAGCTAGATCTAGTCTAGAGATTTTTAGATGAGTGTAAAAACGTGAAAAAGAAAGGTTTCACAACAGAATGAAATCAAAACTAGAACAGCCCAGAAACAACCACAACAATTAACAAATAAGGGCGTGTGTCCACTTGTCCGAAGAAGATTGGCCGTTTTAACCCTAAATGTGCGTAATTTGTTTAAAAAAGTACAGGATATTGCATGGAAATTATGGAACCACACACAGGGGGCCTGCCAGTGTCAGTACCTGTACTTGGTTTTGGTGGAACGCTCTAACATAGCACATTTAAATCTATACAGGTATATATATTTAGAATCTAATGAAGGTAGGAACATCAAATTAAATGACGTTACACTATACAACCCCCCCCCCCCCTTTTCCCCAACAAAAAAAAATTAATAGAAAAACAACCCATCAGAACAATAACAAGAAAAAAAAATACACACCAACAAAATATAACACCACAAAGAGGGAAAAATGAACGAAAAATAAAAGAGGAACAGCAATACAAATCGTATGTAACTGTAACGTATTCAACAAATCAACGTGGTGACAACAAGTGAGAAAGAGACGAAGTGAAGCTAAGTGAACTTTCTTTCAAAAGTAAAGAGTTTCATTTTCTTTTCTTTTTTTTGGACTTGATTGGTCGCGGCCTCGACAAACGCAGATGCTAGCTCTATGTGTCGTTATCAATAACCCTCCATAGATCTAGATCTAGACAGCTCACGAGTGAACGCAACACATTAAGTTTAAGAGCAGCACCCTTCATAGGCCACACGTCATATCTGTAGCGAAAAACTGTTTGGAACTGTAGCATTTCTTTATATAAATACGGACATTTTTTGGACCGATTGAACCATATTGTATACGAACAATCTTTGGTAGGCCTATAATATAATTATAGATCTATATTTTATTTTTATTATCCGAAATATGCGGGAAAGGGTGTGATTTCAGAGTGTTCGGAGAAATAGTGCCCAGCTTTATTTTCCCGAACGTTCGGAGAAATAGTGCCGGCCTATTGGTTTCACCCTAAATGCTGTCGGGCACTGGAGTACAAAAAGATCGTTTAAAACTTTGTTTTCAAATCTACCCCCAAAATAGTGGCACACAAACCTAAAGCAACCTCCCTTACTTTCGTTGAAACAACAGTTACGGCGATATTTTGCTAAAAATAGTCCCTAAGACAGCTTTTTTTTCATCAACTGAGCAAAACAGCGTGAAGCTCTTTCCCCGGAAGAGTTAACATTGGTTGTGGATGAAGGAGCCTGTGACCTAGATTCTACGTTTTGGTAGACTGAAGGCTGGAGAGTTGTTTGCATATATAATATATATGAGGCCCTGTCAAGGATGAAAGAGAATTTGCCGTTTAGTCTCGCCGTTTTTGCCCAAAGGGGGGGTGCCCGGATTGTAACATAAAATCCGTAGTTTCTCATCCTTTGGGCACATAAGATAATACAGAGCCAATGGTTATATAACAAAGAATAAAGAATTTGTGCATAATTTTAATAATAGTAGAGTCAGATACAGCATATTAACTCAGTCAGACACCAGTGTAATAGAGTCAGATACCTGTGTGCATACAGTTGGATATCAGTGTAGCAGAGTCAGATACCAGTGTAGTTGAGTGAGCCAGATGCCAGTGTAGTAGAGTCAGATACCACGTAGTAGAGTAGGTCAGATACATACTCATTAAAATAGCTGTAAATGGTGAATACCACTTTAGACAAACTATCATTGTGTCCAAGTGTTGAGAACAAACATTAAAAATCATGTTATTAAGCTTGCAAAGAAACAAATGTGATAATAATTGAAAATGACCGAATGTCAAAACACTGCCCGAATCCATGAGAAAACCAAAAAAATGTGACTGATCACGTAAGTAAATCGGGCGTCACTTTTGCACCCAGTAAGGGCCTCAAATATGAGAACAAGCTGAAACAGGTCATTCCTGGGGTCATCCACTCGTTCTGAATAGCTCCTGTGCTATTTGCAACGCCACGTTCTGAATAGCTCCCATGCTATTTGAAACGCCAGTACTAGAATGTAGATTTAGTAGCCATCGTTTCTACATGATAATATTGTAGTTCTGCCTGAATTGTGGAAGCTTTCTCAGTTTTTTGATAAACCTCCTAGGATTTGACTCCTTTTTTTTATGACATTGTCTTATTCCGATCAATATTGGGTAGATCTAGATCTAGATTAGATCTAACAATTGTTTCTGACATTGTTTGCACAAAAGTAGGTACGTCTTGTTCATCTCTCATAATCATAATCATTTCAGTTAGAGTTTGAGCAAGTTTAAGTCGAAAGACGCTTGGATAACGATAACAATTAGACGGTGCAACTCGTTAAGTTAGGCCTAGAGAACGTATACAAGCTGTCTACTGTCTACGTTCTCTAAGTCTAATGTTCAGTGCTTCCAAGCATGGCATTGAATCCCGGTCCCGAAAGGGTTTTTTTTCCTTCTCCTGAGCCTAAAAGTTTAAAAAAAAAAAAAGTAGACTCACAGACCAAGGAAAGCCACTACTGAACTTTAACCAGGCCTAAATTGGTAAAAGGAAAAGTATAGGCTATGGCCTACTTTGTACAGAGCTCCTCTTGGGGACAAAACCAGAATGTGCATGCTTCATTACTACATAAAAAAACTACAAAGCAATAAGATATAATAATTATGGGAACAATTTGTTGGTCAGTCGAGAAGAGGACAACAACAACCAACAAAAAAAAACCGTCCTGGACCGGGATCGAACCCACGCTAAAAAAATAATGGTTTGACTTCAAGCGCAGACGAGCTGTCACTTCGGCCATCAGAACTTCCGATAACGAAATGCAGATTAAGCTTCATATTTTACACACGGCAACACAGCGTTTTGTTTAGCACTGGCGCTAATCGCAACGCGGCGTTGCAAATAGGCTCTTCCAAGATTTTAAATGTCTGAATATTTAGATACTTCAGTTGTTGTTGGGGCAACGTTCCCGGACTATACTTCATTTGAAAATACCTTCAAAAGGTACTGCAAGAAAACAAGACTTCTCGACCTTGGCAGTAACCTATTTTGTTATTTTATAGCAAAAGAGCAAAGAAACAGAAATTTGAATTACCCCCATTTCACCGAAACCACGTGCTTGGAAGGTTGCGAGTCGGCTTACGTGCCGTGTTTACGCTACCTGATTATACGTTTGCTATAGCACCATAAACACACGAGAGCACACACACACACCCACACACTCACTCGCGCTCACACACACACACACACATACAAACACACATAAACACACATGCACAAAGACCGCTTCGGTGGCCTCTTGCTAAGGAGTCCACTTTGAGAGATCATTAATTAATGTTTTAAAAACACTAAAACACAATAAAAACTAATTTTCAAAGTCAATCCAAGGGTAAAACTGAAAGATCAAAAGACGATAACAGCCAGCAGGGTACGCCCATACAGTCAGCTGTTTATGTAAACAAGCTTGAAGTGAGCTAGAAGTTACCATTTTTACTCCGTTTTACCAATCAGAGTTGTTTACATTTCTGACCATTCATGCTCAAAAAGGGGTATAAATCTAAAAATAGTTGCGAATGAAGAACATTGAAGCAAAGACATTCCACTAGTGGAGAATCTTTGGTTGAAGAAAAGGTGGCCATGAGGTAATGGTTCTAAAAATAATCTCACAGCTACACTCTAGCAAAGTTCAAATTCCTTTTATAAATCTCATCACCCAAGCTCACAACAAACCGCACACACCTCCAAAATAAATCAAAATGAAATATTTATAGTCGATTATAGTTGTTTCTTTTTGTCTTAAATGAAGCAGAAGACATCAAACTTTCAGTAGATCTGAAAAACAAAAATTTCATTGAAAGTCACTTTTTTGCCTTTGGAGCCTCGTAGCTGATAATAGCACACTGCGTCTTACGACTGATATTGAGCGGGGTAGACAGGTATGTGTTAGTGTTATGTTAGAGCGTGCCTCCACCAAAACCGAGTACTGACACTGGCAGGCCCCTTGTGTGTGATTTCATAATTTACATGTAATAATATACTATTTTAATGTTGTGTACTTTTTTCTTGAATTACACACATTTAGGGTTGAAATGGCCAATCTTCGGATAGGTGGACACCTGCCGTTATTTGTACATTTTTGTGGTTGTTAAATGTGCTGTTCTAATTTTGATTTATTTCTGTTGCGAAACCTTTATTTTTCACATTTTTACACTGTGTGGCAACAAATGATATTCTGGATGCTTAACAAAGATCACAAGAAATTATTGTTCTTTAGACTAAGTTACCTCTATCAACATATTGCTACATTATAACAGAGAGTTGAAAGCTTGAAAATTTGTACAGCCTTTTATGGCAACTTTTGCCATTTTTTGGTTCATCGTTTGGACAACAAAAATGGCAACAAACGCAGATGCTAGGCATAATATCATTGATTTTTTTTTTCCTTCTTTTTTTCACAGAAAATGGTTATGTGTTGTGCTGCCCTATGGTGTACAAATCGCCAGACAACAACACAATCCCAGGTCTTGTCTGAGCATCGTGTTAGAGATCTGACGTTTCACCGATTCCCCCTGGAAAATGATGGACTTTTGGCGAAATGGGTTGAAGCCGTCCGACGAGACAAATTCACCCCAACAAGCGTACACAGGCTCTGCAGCCGACACTTCCGTGAATCAGACTTCATAGAAGGTGACCGCAGGAGAGTCTTGAAACGAGATGCGGTGCCCTCAATTTTTGATTTCTCCAAACACCTGGTAAGCTTGCTTAAAACTTGATTCTACACATTGAATTGTACAGTTCCTTTTGTTAATTAATTTATGCAGGTCTGCTAGCTGTTTTCGGAGGAATTGCAATCTTTGACCAAAAAAAATGTCTTTTTGGTGTTATGTTGGAGTTATAGTCCAGACAACACCAAATAGACAACTTGTCGACCTCATTACACCGAATCTAAGTGGCGAGTTTCTCTGATTTTTTTGCATGCGCTTCTGAATTCTAAAAGACCTAAAAATCCTTGATTTTCGTGAAGTGACTAATATAAAGAGGTGCTGCCTATATAAATAAATAATACATCTCCAAATTCAACAGCCAGACACCACTCAACCAAGTTTTCAAAATCGTTTTTAAAAATTTAGGTGGACGCACAGACACCATTCGGCACGTCCAGAGGCCGGATGGTACCACAGCTGAAACACAGGTAAACATCGCAAACACAATAGCTACATCTCTTGCCAACAACTCATCCCAAGCAAACAACTACACCACCTTCCAAAACATCAAAACTAACAGAGAACAACAACACCTAAACTTCCATTCAAACAACACTGATACCTACAACGCAGACTTCACATTAGACGAACTAACATCGTGCATCTCAGACCTGGGCAATACAGCCCCGGGACCGGATGACATCCACAACCAGATCATTAGACACTTACCCACAGAAACTCTTACACTCCTACTAGACACATACAACGACATGTGGCTGTTGCGCTCCTTTCGGTAGTCTTGGCGTCTCGCCACTGTCATTCCAATACCAAAACCAAAAAAAGACCGCACACACCCATCCAATTACGCAAACTTATAGAAAAAATGATCCACGGGCAACTCACATCTCCAGTGCGGATTCAGGAAAACTCGATCCTCTGTGGATCACCTGATCTGCCTGGAGACCTTCATTCGCGAGACGTTTGCCGAAGGAGGCCACATGATCGCCATCTTTTTCGACTAAGAAAAAGCCTTCACCACAACCCATACAGTTTTCCAAACAAGACATCCAACAATTTCTCTTCTCTGACCTCCCTCCATGGCACCTCAACAACTCAAGGCAAAAGTAGACTTACATCTAACCACACACAACAAAGCAAGCAAAAATATTTAAAGCAGAATACAAAAAAAATCTTATAGAAAAATACCGGGGTGCGGAGCTTATCTTCACAGATGGCTCCAAACTGGACTCTGGTGTGGGCGCGGCAGCCCTATCTTCAAATAGTACACACCAGAGGAGACTCCTTCCTGAAGCCTACATTTTCTCTGCAGAGGCCACTGCCATTGCCATGGCACTGGACTCCGTAGAAAATTCTCCTAACAAAACTTTCCTTATCTTTTCTGACTCTCTGTCTTGCATCACCTCACTTACAAACGACACACTCCTACGTCCGAAAATAGTTGAGCAACAACAAATAATACACGGCTTGACTGAAACCGGGAAAAGTATCGTGTTCGCATGGATACATAGCCGTGTGGGCATCCGGGGAAACGAGCAGGTAGATCACCTGGCGAGGAAATCCTTATCCCTTCTGTTGGGATCAACGACGAACGGGAGAGCCATTGGAAAAAACAAACAAATAACAAAACTTCAAACATTAAACCCAAACTGGGACCGCGAAATCCTTCGGGCCTCTCCAGAAGAGACGAAGTCATTTTTAGTCGATTACACATCGGACACATGGCCTTGACACACAAATACCTCCTTCAGGGAGACGAGAAGCCGTTCTGTGTCTGATGCGACACGGATTTTACCTTTAGACACATTTTAACCGAATGTCTAGACTTTGGAGAGACCCGAAGGAAATCTTTAAATGCAAAAAATTGCAAGATTTTTTTCCGATGTTCTTCCCAACAAAATTTTAGATGTTATGAAGGCCCTTGGCCTTTATGGGAAATTATAGAGTGAAAGTTAATTATTAAAATTTTTTATGTTATTTAGGAAAGCTGTTTTAGATTGAAAATATATTTACTCAGAATTTTAAATATTTTTACATTTTAAGATGTCACTATTGACCCGAGCCCAGCTGTACAGTGAACTGTTGGAAATAAAACTAATTTGTGTTTCGCACGCTCATATGACCTTATGCAGTTGCGAGCGCCGTAAAACCCCATACTAAACTAAACTAACTATATAATCATTAGTAATTAATTGCTCATTAAGTTCAACACCGAGCACTTTTTATAGCAAGCACGGTGCCTTGCTAAAACCCTACTCTTACATATTCGAGCCACCTGAATATGAAACGAGTATTATTTTAAGTATTCTGCGTCTTTATATGTGTTATGTATTACCATTATTATTATTTATTATCATTACTATTATCTTTATTATCGTCATATTATAATTTCTGACATGTCAACATTAACCCAGTAGGTAATAGTTCAATAGTTTTAAGGCAACCTTTTTTTTAGGTTTGTAGATTTTAAGCAATCTAGCTAGCTATGTTGATTAATGAAAAAGCGACAGCAAATTGAAACGCAAGCCGATCTCTAAGACTGAAGATGTGAAAGAAATGTTACTCCGTGTATATCACAATAAGTCAATCTAAATAAACCCATTGTCAACCACAAGCCACTGGACTGAAAACTACTCTCGGTCTTGCGCCACATGCAGTCAGTTTTTTAAAAATTTAAAGAAGAAAAAAAATATATTAACCCTCAACTACCGTTTTTGTTCTTATAAAAAATCCCCGCGCAGACTGAAATTAAATACTAATTATTTTATAGAAAACTCCTCTTTATATCTGTCGCATATGCGGGAAAATTGAGATTTTTGTAGGTTTTAAAAAATTCAGAGGCATGCAAAAAATCAGGGCAGTTCGCCACTTACTTTCTGTGTAATCAGGTGGACAAGTGGTCCATTTGGTGTTGTTAAGAATATTTAGAATTTTGTCTTCTGTTCGTTTTTTTTCGTCTTTGTCCGAGACATGGCGGCATCCATTATTCCATCTTAGCGATCTTTTAGTCTGCCCGGGCCCCCACGTTAGGCCATAAATCACTGGCAGGGACCTGCAGTTTCATGCATCGGGTCGGGGATTGACCAGGGTCCACTCGTGCACAGCGCTATCCTATCTTGTCAAGAATGCATTTTTTCCCCTCTAATTTTGTGAGCCGTAATAGAATGCTCACTCTACCCCCTGAATCTATTTCTTCGCAAATTTCGCTTCTTCTACGTCTTCTTGACGTCTTGTCTTGTGAAAGTTTCACCTGTTTTCATTCATTTGTTTGAGAATAATAACTGTTTAAATCGTGAGTGTAAAGTGATCAAAAGTGCCGCTGAGAATATGATCTCTTCAAATTATATGTTACAAATAATTCCAAAATAGTCTATTGTGTTCATTTCTATTTGCGAGGTGTGATAGTCATCAAATTACATTAGAGTGGAAGCAACATTCAATCGTCTCAGTGAAAGATTTAGCCATGTTCACACTGCAATATCACATCTCAAACCAACCAGTCAAACAGTCTTCACTTTCAGAAATCCTCGTAGCAATCGACAGTTACATGGCCACATTCAGACGCCATTTCCCCGGCAAAGTCATCCCGAAGGAACACATATTAGAGCAACACTGTATTCCACACTTACAGCAACACATGTTTGCTCTCTGACTTTTGGGAAAACAGGACACAAAAAGCAGCCACCAAGCGATCTCAAAATTGGAAGCCAGAGCACGAGGGATCCCAAACCAGATAAACAAAATGCGTTTTATTTTTGTGTCATATCTCCTGCAAATAGCACCCTTATTGCATGCTGGTGGAGATGTTTAGAAAGAAAAATTGTAATCATACTTCATAATTTTATTCTGTACATGTCCATTTTGTGGAGAAAAAAAAATCAGTGCTGTATATTGAAGATACATCAGTATATCATTATGTAGGAGAATACTCATTTCTTGGGGTACAAAAAGCCATGAATTGCAGGGAAGCGTTTTGACTGTCATGTTCATGTTAAGTTCCATGTTCGTGCTGGGGGAAAAAATTTGAGTTAGTCAATTTTTAAACATATTTTCCTATCTTATGTAGCAGTTTTGTAAATATTTATCAATGTGCTAATAGGCTATTAGCCACTCAAGTATGTGTTTGTTGTTTTGACTAACTATAAATAGACAAATATTTTAAGAGCATCTAACTCCAAAACCTGAGCAGCCATGGCTTCTTAGTACCAATAAAGAAGTTTAGTTGCTTTTTCTAAAGAACAAACTTGTGTGCACGTATGATATTGTTTGATTGTGTAAGCCGATAAAACATGTGTTGGAAAATTCATTTCACCGCCTAACGACGCAGAGAGCGTGAAGTTGGGTTAGTGACCTCTGTGTGACCCAGCAGACTGTGACCCGGTTACTCCATCGCCAAGCCAACTAAAAGAGCGGTGTTTGTACGCCGTGAAGAAAATTATAAAATCAGTAAACAGTTGTGCAGTCCTACCTGCTTGGAGACCTGGTTTTCCTTTCTTGATGCCTGTACGGTCAGAGAAGTGTCATACCTCTTAGGAGGAGAACCTCATTCGCTTCTTCTTCTGTGTAGTACTATTGATGGTACTTCTTGTCTCCTGATATACAAACCTTCCAACCTTCGCATACTATTTGAATTTTCATTCTATTATCGTGTTGATATATACATGTATATGTAATTTTTTTTTCCCACCGAAAATGTGTTCTGCAAGTGACTGGGGGATGCTACTTGTATTAGTAGATCATTCCCCCCCCCCCCTTCTCTGTTCCTTTATTTTAATGGTGATAGCTATTTACTGCAGTGCAGTCCCAGAAATAAGAAGAATAAGACTGATGTTGTGCTAGTGTATCGTATGAGGCAACTAAATAGCGAACCAGGTAGTGACTCCCGAGAGTCATCCTCTCTCCAGGTCGGGGGTTGAGTTACAAGGCTAACAACCTCTCGTAAAAAGAAACTGTTACAGAAACACATACAAGCAAAAACTATTATCTCTGCTTGGCTGGTCGTGGATTTTCTCAGAATTGAGAGTATGATGAGAGGCAGTGAAAGCTGAAAGGAAGCTGCTGGGCAGAAGCCTCCACCGTCATCCAAGTCCAAGTCTCTCCGGATTGGATCGTGGAATGTATGAGGCTGGAAAAACTGCACAAGTCCTCCAAGAGATACACTGATACCACTTGCACATGCTGAGAATCAGCGAAACCCACTTGAACCGGTCTGGACAGAAGCGAATGAAAGAGGGGGAGCTTTTCATTTATTCAGGAAATGACATGATCCTATCCAACTCCTTGGGAAGATTAAATTGAAACTGAGAAGGTATGCACAAGTCACAACTGGAAGTCGTCAAAAGTATGAAGTGAACCTTCTGAAAGACCCAGTAAAGAAGAATGAATTCAAGTTGGAACTGAAGAACAGATTTCAAGCCCTTCAAGATCTGGATGAATGTCAAGTAAACGAACACTGGGACAAGATAAAAGAGACAGTAAATGCAACTTGCCAGAGCATCCTAGGACCCACAGTCAACACCAGGAATGAATGGATTTTACAGGACTCTCTAAGCAATGTCAAAAGAAGAAGAGAGCTGAAGGCCAAAGTCGACAACAGTCGTACCTGAACTGGGAAACTGGCTGCACAACAAGAGTCTTTCCATGAAAAAGGACAAGAATACCTACCTGAATGGCCTGGCCGAAAAGGCAGAGAAAGCAGCAACAGACGGACACACAGGATTGTACATCAGACAACAAAAACTCTTTCAGGTAGGTTCAGCAAGCCCACTCTACCAGTGAAAGACAAAGAGGGAAAGACTTTCTTCGACCCAGAGGGGCAGCTAAACCGATGGAGAGAGCACTTTTATCAACTCTTGATGAACAAACTTACTACCTCCAGAAAACCATCCAGAACTATTTCCTGCCAGAAGTGACCTCCCAATAGTGTACGGAACCACCTTCAAGAGAGGAAATTACAGCAGCTATAACATCACTGAAGTCCCAGAAGGCAGCTGGGCCCGGCCATATACCACGGGAAGCCTTTAGGGCAGATAAAGATACATCAGTGGAAATTCTCTATGCTCTATTTGAAAAGATTTGGCGAGAGAAGGAAATACCATCAGACTGGAAGGAAGGAGGAAGGCCACCTAATCAAGCTGCCAAAGAAGGAAGACCTCAGCAATTGTAACAACTACGACAGAGGCATTACACTCCTGTTCATACCTGGGAGTGTCTTTGACTGAATACTCCTGAAGAGAATCAAGCTGGCAACAGATGAGGAGCTCCGAGGAAATCAGGCAGGATTCTGCAAGAACCGATCATGTGTGGACCAGATCGCTACTCTTTGCATCATTGTTGAGCTATCACTTGAATGGAATTCATCACTCTTGGTCAACTTCATTGATTACGAAAAGGCATTTGACGACATGGACAGGAAAACTCTGTGGGAACTCATGTGGCATTATGGAATACTTGACAAAATTGTCAGGCTTCTGAAGGCCACCTATGATGGAACAAACTGCCAAGTCTTCCACGAAGGACAACTCTCAGAACCATTCCAGATACAGACTGGAGTGCGACAAAGATGCTTGCTCTCACCTTTTCTCCTCATACTGGCAATTGACTGGATCATGAAGGAAGCCGCCAGAGGCAAGCACAATGGTTTACAGTAGATCCCTTGGCAGCAGCTGGATAGTTGTAAAAGCAAGAACCGCCAAGCAAGATCAGCTTTCAATCAATTATCAAATGTCTGGAAAGCAAGCAACATCTAACTGCACACCAAGATTCGACTCTTTAATTCCAGTGTCAAGTCTGTGCCCCTCTACGGCTGCGAAACTTGAAAGACAGCAAAGAGAGTGCTGAATAAAGTCCAGACTTTTATGGACAGATCAGATGTATGAGGAGTATCCTAAGAATTAAGTGGCAGGATAGATTAAGAAATGAAGAGCTGTGGGAAAGGACAGGACAAAAGGACAAAGAAGTAGAAATAGGACTAAGAAAGTGGCGATGGATGGGACGCACCTTCAGAAAGCCCAGTTGAAACATCACAAGACAGTCGCTGCAGTGGAACCCACAGGAAGCACAAGGCAGGGGTAGGCCACGGTAAACGTGGAGGAAATGTGTGGAGAGGGACATGAGAGAGATGGAATCTCACTTGGAACGAGCTAGGAAGGATGGACAGAGATAAATGGAAGGAGTTTGTATGTGGCCTATACCCTGCCAGGGGTGAAAGGCATTGGTGATGATGAATTCTATTTAGTGTTGAGAAGACGTAAGAAAGACAAGATTGTTTCTGCCTGTTTTTCTTATGCCTTCTCAAAGATGCTTGCTTACCATTAATGTCATAGTAGTTTGTTTTTGTTTTTTTCACTGCCTACCTATGCCGCCTAAGACGTTATAGAACTGTTTCCGTGGACTAACTTTGCCACAGCCCCTGATGGTTTTTTTTAGTTCAGAGGGATTTTTTGTGTGTTATTACCAAAGTATATATGCAGCATAGGTACTGCTTTTAGAAACTACAACCTCCGAAGGAGTAGGAAAAGGGCAGAAAGGTACTTCCTGGTTCTCTTGAGTGCCCAGTGCTGTTGTGCATAGGACAATGTTTCCATACTTTGTCTCACGAAGGACAGTCACTGGCTGTAACAAACTCAACTGTTACAGTTGGACGGACTGTTGCCATAGCTGGTCCTTTTTATGTTCTCTATGGGTATGTGCCACAAAAAAATACGAAACAAACATTTTAATTGGGTACAATTCACATAATTTGATTTGTTTTCCTGGGTCCTAAATGGAGGTCCAACCCTGGTTCTTGCCACATTTTTCTTACCTATTTTTGTTGCTTTCTAAAAGTAAGATGAAAGAAGGAATTCATATTCTGTTTGTTTTCTTACAATATTTTTAATGTCCACTATAGCTGTGCAAAGTTTGGTGACTTAATGTCAGTTAGTTTAGTCACAGTGATCATTTGGAGAACACATTGAAATAAGTACGCTGGGTATAAGACAACTATGGCGGTAGCCAGTGGATTAAAGCCGATTAACAACTAAACAAAGCATCTCGTCTTCTATTCCCAGGTGGTTGTCAATCGTGGCTCACAGGTCTTGCCTTTGAACAAAGGTAGGGGATGTCAAAGTATCCACAAGACCATGCGAAAGATAGACATCTCCCAGATTTTTTCAGAGACTGTGGCTAAAGTGGAAGAAGTCCGTAAGGCAGCTGAGACTTCTGTCTGTACTGGTAAGGGCAGAGCAGAGCAAAAACAACTGCTCTGGGAGTTTTTCTGTTGTGTCTAAGTGCCCTTTTTTTATGTATCAGTTTTATGCTGTTCTTTGTCTCTGTCTGTTGTTCTTGCAGATTTTTTGTCTTTTTTTTTCTTTCACTCTTTATTCCATCCCTATCTTTCTACCCATTTCTGTCTCTGTCTTGTCTTCTACCCCCCCCCCCCCCCCCCCCCCATTCATTCATGGTATTATCCTCCTCTTTTTTCCTTGCGATTTGAAAAAGATGTACTTAGATACTGGATATATAGAATATAAGTCAATACTACAGTGGAACTCGGATTCAACGAGGTCGCCGGGCCTGACCTAAAATCTCGTTGAATCCGAGTATTCGTTATAGCAAACTCGAGATTTTGTTTAGATAATTACGGCCACAGAGCAAGCAACGTACGGAGAGAAGTAACAAGTTGTGCCTGAAATGCCTGTAGAGCCTAAAATACGGCAACTTTTGATTCCATAGACGACCGCACTATTCATTACGTTGAGGCAAACCTATCATTGTAATAATGATCAGTTGCCGGGGGAAAAAAAAGACTGACGCATTTGTATCTGCGACATTCAACGCCCAGACCGCTGGTGCCCTCCCTCTCCCCGACACGCACACAGTCACACATGTGTGCAGGCCGCCCATCCGACCTCAACACATGCTAGAGTATGAAAGAAGGCCGCTGATTGGTCGCATACAATCGGCTAAGAGAATAAATTATAATGGTTCACGATGCAGGTGCAATGGGTGGTTTCCAAGAACAGAGTAAATTCGTTGTGGGAGAAAAATGAGCGAAGCCACGTATGCGGGGCTTGTTCACCCTGGAAGTGACCTCGTTGAATCCGAGCTCGCTAATGTAAGTGCTCTTTGAATCCAAGTTATTATTATTGATTTTAAAGAAGAAAAAAAATGGGGAATCTATCTCCTCTCGTTGATTCCGAGTTCTCGTTGAATCTGAGCTCGTTGAATCCGAGTTCCACTGTACTTTGTATGCTTATCTTTTTTATGAGTGTGGAGTCCAGTATAGTATATTTTGTTTTTATAAAATTGCTTACCTTGACAAAAATATAAAAATGCTGATACTAGCAGCGATTGATGTTGGTAATATAATGCCATTTGAAGGTTCTGTGATGATTTTTAAGGGTGTGAGGCTTATTATGTAAAGTCATTTGATAGGATGCATTCTGTTCCCCTGTCTCTCATTCTCATTATACATATTCTTCTGTATCCTTTCGTTATCCTCAGTTGGCGTACAGACTGATCCTGTTTACATTTTGCCAATGGAAGGTGAGTAAAGTATCATTTTGACACGGTTTGTGAGTAGGTGCTCTGGTGTGGTCTTATTCTTTTCAGTGTTACCACTGCTTGAGTTCAGAATCAGAAGACTTGTAGAAAGTTGAGGTTGTGGTATGCTGGCGGGTGCTCTGGTGTGGTTTGCTCCTTCTTTCCTATCAAACATCTATCGTCCTAATCTATCCTTCTTCTTTATTTGATAATTTGTATGTTACCCTCTTGTAACATCTCTAATCTTTGGCACTGATATGACCTGTTTGTGTAGCAAATGCCATAAAAGTTTTACTCAAACAAACAAAAGTTTATTACCGTGTGTGGTTAACTCACTTCAGACTGGGCCCTTTCACCAGTCACAAGCGTTGAAGACTGGCGTTTTTCGGAGTATTTCAATAAATACCCACAACTCTCAGAATTACCCTATTGTAATTATTTTTTTGACACAGTAAAGTAACATTCAAGCTTAATCTAACACAAAAAACTAAAGTTGTCTAAGTCTAATACTTTAATTTATATGATTTTTAAAAAATTAGCATGAATTTGATTTTCCGAAAAATTTCCACAGACATGACAGGTAGGATGAAATTCACAACAACAACAAAAATAAAAGTTCAAAGTGTTGTATCTTGATTTGTATGCATGTGTGAGTGTTTGGTGCAAGTATAAAAGCTGGTCTGTGCGTTGATTCAGACCCATGCACTGAATTACATGAGACATGTACGGCACGACGTTGTGATTTCGCTGCGCGAACAACAACACAGTACTAGTGCTAGATCTAGCCCTAAAACTACGACTCGGGCCGTGTTCGGGTACATATCCAGGATCCTAACTATCAGATCCATCATATTCTGAGACACTAGAGCTAGTAAAACGTATAGAAGTATCGAAAACGGCGAAATTATGTGATTCTTGTTCATGCGACTTCTTCGACCGTTACTATGGCGCGACTGTCGGATTACTATCAGCTGTATAGAAAAAAACAAAGCGCGAGTTCCGGTCAGTTCAACCCCAGTTGGGGTCACTGTCCTTCACCTTCAATAACTTAAAAACTACGGGTCCCAGAGATACAAAACGAAGTCTAAGTAGCTCAGGCTTGGCCAAACAGGGGTACGAGGCGGGTCCCGCGATCCGTGTGTGATTTGTAGAGCGGAAAAAAAAATCCAAAGTTGGTCACGCAACTCTTTGTGAACCGTCTGAAGTGAGTTAAGATTTCCCTTTTTTATTTTTTTTATATTTTTGGTCGAAATGTCTTCCCTTTCAAGTTTACTTGGTTTGTGTGTGTGTAGCTGTTTAGTATGAGGACAGATGTTACCCCCAGTAAAACTGCGAGATGGTAAATATCATAAATTTTAAAAAAATGATTATGTAAGACTCAGTAGAGGCATGCTTGCCTAACAAATATAAACACAAATCAAGACAACTTCCAAGTTCCCTGAAGGCCATGTTTTTATTCCCCACATTTCATGTTGTTGAATGCTTAGCTTTGCATGTACCTGTTTACCTTGCATTTCCAAGTGAGGGTCCAATATACCATGTTGGCATTGGTGCTACATTACAGGTTTATTTTGCTTTTTCTTCCACTAGACGCAGATTTGATGACGGTTGGCACAGATAGAGGATTGTCTGCCCGCCTCACTCTGGACTCTGCACGGAGACCTCCAGGGACCAGCCAGGGTCTTGTGCGTCATCACTGCAGGATCTGCGGCGCTGCCTTCGTGGGCCAGCTACAGCTCAAGCTTCATCAGTGGATTCATCAGATGGCCCAGCCCAGCTCTCAGATGAGAAACGCAGCTTCAATTTCTCAGATGAAACTGGCCACTCCCGGTTTTGCGGAGAAGAATGAAGGAGCGAGTATGTCGAGAGTGCTGAAGGGTGTGAATAACGGGGCGGAAGGTTTTGCAGCAGACGCAGATCTTGGAGCGATGGAGATCACTGTGTTGTCTGACGGGAGAGTGATAACGCCGTGGCAAACTGGGCAGGAGAACGTGCCGGTAGTAGAACTTCCACGTGCTGTGAAGCAGACAGGTACTCTAGGGATTATGTCAGGGATTATTGTTGGGAAGAAAAGACCGGTTGGTAAGTTACAGCGAAGTTTGCTGAAGAACAGGCTGCCAAGGGAGAGTGGTCAGGTGAGAAGTAACAGCCAAGGCAAGACGCCAAAGAAGTGCCCAGTGTGCGGGGAGATGTTTGTGAGGCCCGCGGCCCTGAGAATTCACCTGTCTGAGCACCTGTACTACGACATACATCGAGGCCAGGTGTTGATTCGTGGGGCCATCATGCCCAACACCAACGGGACCGGCCTGGGCGTCATGGAACAGACCTCGGCCGGTGAAGACCTTTCGAGTGAGCAAGAGGGACCCTTGCAGGACGGACAGGCCAAGTCAAACGGGCCGGTGCCATATAACCACAGCGATGTGAAAGGTGGTGAGTTCAGCTTCGTGTGTACTCTGTGCAATGTAGGATTCATGCGTAAGAAACAGTTGCGTGCGCATCGGCACTCGGAGCACAGCAGCATCAAAAGTGTGTACAAGGGCAAGACACTGGTGCTCAAGTCGCTTTCCTCTAGCAGACGTAAGTCCAACAGTTGTGAGATCTGTGGGGAGGTGTTCAAGTCACTCTCCTCCCTGAAGGTCCATGTGCTGTGCCACGAAAAGAAGAGCTTATTCAAGGACGATATTTGTCACAATGACTTCTCCACCTCTGACGCGCTCAGAGTTCACAAGAAACTGCACGAGGCAAAAGATTCTGAAGCCCAGCCTACTGAAAAGTCGGAAATGGAAAAGTTTGTCTGCGATGTCTGCGGCAAGACAGTTAAATCGATGAAGCAGTTACGGTACCACCTGGCAAGTCATGTGGGTGGGGATACAATCACATGCCGAGTTTGCAAAGAGAAATTCACCTCCCGGAAACTGTTGATGGCCCACCAGGCTGAGCAGGGCCACGTGCCTAACAAGCCGATTATCTGTGAGGTATGCGGCTCTTCTTACTCTCGTCTCTATGATCTCAAGAAACATCACTTTGTGGCTCATGTCAAGAACAAAGATAAGAAGGCAAGGGTGAAACATGGAGAGAAGGCAAGAGAAGAAGGAAGTTTCCCTTGCGAGTATTGCGGGAAAGTTTTTCGCTTCAGAGACAAGCTGCAGTGTCATGTCGGTAAGCATACAGGGGAGAAATCCTATAAGTGCGAAATTTGCCACAAAACTTTTTGCTACTCAAGTTCTCTGTCTTTTCATAAACGGAAGCACAGGGAGACAAAGGTGAAAGAGAAGCCAAAAGTAAGAGTGACCTGTGAGTATTGCCATAAGGTTTTCAGCAGCAAGCATGTACTGGCAAGTCACATCAAATACCACACCGGTGAAAATCTCCACACATGTGAAATTTGCAACAAGTCTTTTGTCTACTGGGGATCCTTCATCTTGCACAAACGAAGCCACGCAGGCGAGCGGCCTTACGAATGCGATGTCTGTCACCAGCGATTTCTTCGCCCGTACAACTTAAGGTGTCACTACCGCATCCACACAGGCGAGAAACCATATCCTTGCCAGATCTGTGGCCAGAGGTTTCGGCAGCAGGGTGACCGCAACTCGCACCAGAAGCGTCACGCCACGCAGGCCGCCAAGGCATCCAACAACGTGTCGAGCAACACAGCAGCAGTCCAAACGAAGGTGGAGGCCCAAGTCCCAGCCACAATTCAGATTCAAGTCCACAGGCAGCAGGACAATGAAATGGCCACATCGGTCATTAGTGTACTTCGAGGCTAATTATTCTCTTTTACATTGTTCAAAGGCTTCATGCTGTGAGAAAGATTCCTTTTCATTTTATAGTTTACTTTGGGACACTTCCAATGAGTCGTTCTACTCCCAGTACAGCGACTTAAAACATGATGATTTTGTTGTGAATTATCTTGTTATTACCATTTTTATCAGCTTGACAATGGTGAAAAGCATGTACTTGTTATTGTACAAATGTTGTAGGTGACGACTGTGCCTGTCATGTCCTGTTTAGTTTACAGCAGATGACAGAAAAGGTTCTTGCAAAATTAGTTCTGATCTTAAACTTGCCCTCTAGCTCGAAAAAATACTTTGGGAAAGCTGATGTTTTTGTTCTTGTCAATGATTGTACTTCAATATTCTGAAGAAAAATTGTGCACAAAACTTCGTAATCCAGTTGTCTTTGTCTGTTGATTTATAAAATTCATAACATGCTTTGTCAATTTTACTGTGAGCTGCCGTGTTATTTTAAAAAATGTTCCATGAGGTCATACAAAAGAGATGGTAATAAAATAACTTCTAACATTGTTATTAGATCTGCGTTAGTGGAAAGAAAATATGACAAGTGACTTGTGGACAGCAGCTGTATTACAATTGCTCACAAACTTGACTGAGCTGCTCAATATTGGAGTTCAGATCAGATCAGAGTCTTTAAATTGTTTCTGGGTTCTCTCTCAGAGAATTGTCCTGAGCAAGTCCTGCAACCCCACAGTAATTAATTCTGTGTCTAACAAGACCTAATTGTTTAAATGACTAATAATAGCTGAGGTGTCTTGACTGCTCTGAAAAAGTTACTTACTTGGTTACTTGGTTGGAGAATCATTGCAGGCGGTACAATGCCGTAGCTGCTCCTCCTTCCTCTCCGGGATCCATGAAAGGGTTGACTTACTCATTGTGCCAGTCATCAGCTAGTTGAATATTTTTCTTGCTTTTCCGAGCAGGTTTCTGTCTCTCCCTGATCCTCTTGAGACATCAGCTTCCCTCAGTCTTTGTGAAAGTGAGACAGAAGTGTGAAATTCTTAACTTTGCCAGTGTGTTACTGAAGCAGTTCATTAGAGTATGAAGTAAATTATAATATATGAGTATTTAGTATGGGTATGCAAACAGTAATGTGTAGAGCTACAGTGGAAACCATTTATAACAGTACCGGTAATAACAGGAATCCAATAATTACAGGATTTTTAAATATCTCCGTTTTGTCTTTCTCTTTACCTTTAGCCTTTAGAAAATTTTTTTTCGCAATAACAGGGACTCATCAGAGCCTAATCGGTTATTATAGGGATATAGAGACTCCTTCAAATATGGTACCAGTTTTTTTTTTGGTATTATGCGGTCAAGATTTCTTTATCTTCTACAGCCAACACATGGCCTAGATTATGGGTCTGTTTCGTAAATGGGATAAATGGTGAAGAGAAGGAGAGAGGGAGGAGGTTGGCTAGTTGCCCAGGATTAAACAAACAGTCAGTTTACCTCCTTGTTGAGAACGCACATTTTGGTCAGTAAACAACGCATACTACAGATTCTGTTTTGAACTTCATTACACAAGCAGCTGTTTTGATTTTGTTTTCTTCATGTATCTGAAACTTCAAAAGCGTGCAACAGCATGCGTGCTATTGAATATGCAAAACTCTTGTACTTATTGTGTACGCTGGTTTGAAATGTGTCAAAATGTTGCCTTTGCTGTGCTGCTTATCGGACGTATGTATCTGCTACGTCCTCAAAAAGTTACATACCCCTCGGGGTGATGCTACTGACTGAAGTGTCTTTCGGCCATTCCCAAAGGGGGGACATTAACCATGTTCTTATATACAGTAGAATTGTAATTGTAATCGGGCTGATTCATCAATGTCATGCTCATAACTGTGCCAGAACTTCAACAGGGAACTGCTGCTTTTTCTTTCCTAATCCTGACTATCGTCATTTTCCTCTACTTCTATATGATGTTTGTCACTCTTGTGACCCACTATTTCCGGGGTGCCGTGAAACTACCGGGAGCACTCAGTACACTACAGTATTGAGCCGACTCACTGGCTGCGAGGGCTGGTGCGACGCTGGCCGAGACAACGCTCGGTTGTTTTATTGAAATAACGACAGATCATCATGTTTGAGGAAGTAAAATACTGATTTGTAATGATCTCACAGTCTTGAAAAAAAATAGGCTTCATTTCTTTGTTATAAATGATTGTAGGCCTACTCTGTTAATGTAGAGATGTTTGGTTCCCATTTGTACTCTTTTATTATATCTGTCAAACATGGGGTTGCAGCCACTTAGTTTAGCGACTTCAGCAATATTAATTGATTATGTATTATTGAAGCAGTTGCCATTCTTTTAAACATTTACTGAGGGATAAAAGTATGCTTCCGAAATTTTCAGGAGACCTTACATATATGAGACAGATGAATTTGGCATACAGCTTCTTTGAAAATGTAGTATCTGGTACATGTACCAAGTATAATGCTAATATTTGTTTTGTCCATAAGTTTTTTTCTCTGTGAATGAATAGTTTTGTACTTCTGAATGATACCTTGTAGTGGCGTAGCCAATAACTGCTAAATTTCAAGTCTCTATCTCAATTTTAAGACCCCCACATACATGACTATTACTGTCGAAACATGTTGCTCAACTTCGGAGGCCATTTTCTCCTTTTCGTGTTTCCTCACCTCGCACAATTTAAAGTTCTATTTTTTCGTCGAATATGGTCATATCTGCATCTTTCTTGTTTTAAATTATAGGGAAGACGTGATAGTTTTTGAAGATAATCTGTCCCTGTGGGATTATGCGATTGTGCGGCCGCGTTTTTTCGCGTAATTCTGCAACATTTGCATAATTTTGGATTATCCACGTTTTTTCACGTTTTTTTCCTTTTTTGTAAAAAAAATGGTTGATTAACGTCTCGGGGTGTGACTAAAGGGACGTAATAACCGTAATAAATCTCATTTAAGTGAAAAATTGGTTATTTCCCTTGTTAGAAGATCTTGGTCATGGGTTGTGATTTTGTTCCTTGAGATGTTCAATTTTTCAATCCATCAAAAGTTGTAGTTCTCATGTCTGCTGATGTTTCATGTTTGACAGGTGTCCCTGGTTTTAGTAATGTGCCAGCATCAGAGGTCCAGATATCCTTTAAAAAAATTTTCTATCTAGATCTACAGCTGAAAGTTACAGAGATTATTATTTTTGGTTGGTTGGTTTGTTGGGTTTTATTGTGTTTTTTTACTGATGTGTATTGTTTTCTTTTCCAAATACAAAACAAATTACTGATACTGATATGTTCTGTTTTCAATTTTTCTGTACAGAAAGCATGAAAATCATGAAACTTCGTGTTGAAAAAGTGCAAAACATGTCGCGAATGGTGTTACGGTAACTTGCATAGTTTTTACATAACTTTGCTTTTTTTGTGCATAATTTGGCCTTCTAAATTTGCATAATTCTACGGGGACAGGATAATGTTGACTCTGTTTTGAAATTTCCTTCATATAACTGATACTGACCGGCAGTGACACATAATATGACTTTATGTAAAACCTCGCCAGTTGAGAAACTTGTTGGTGATCTAGCGATACGAAGATTGGGAGAGCCCATGTGTGCCAACAATGAAGGCCGGAGCGAAAGAGTGGGGACGGTGTAGCATGCTCTGACAAGCAGAACGCATCGCGTGTTAGACCAGCCTAGAAATCTAGTCTAGATTATCTAGGCCTACCATGCCTCTCACTTCTCCTATGTGGGGATGGAGAGATTACAGCAATGTGATGGATGGAGCGAATGTGTGACGTGTGCAAGCAGATGGAATGCAGCACAGGGTGTGGTGGGGTGGGGGAAAACACAGCGGGTGAGTTAGCCCAGAGCCATTTCTTTCTGAACGCCAACGTCGAGCTGTCAACATCACTGGCACTAGAGAAAGAAACCTGATTCGATTTTTTATTAAGTACGAGTACGACTACGAGTCATGTTGAAACAAAATCATCAGGGGAAATAACAAAAAGAAATAAACAAACACCAAACTCATAGATTAGGCCTTCTTTATCATTTCCCTTGAATTTATTACTGGATCCCTAAATAACTTTATAAGTATAAGAGAATCGTACTGTAATGGACATTTTGCATCAGTCCCCTCCCTCTCATTATTTCAGGATTCCACTGTATTGTCATTTTTCCTCTACTTCTTTTGTATGTTTTGTCTTTCTCTTGTGAACTGTTACATGTATTTCGGGGTGCCTTGATAGTTGAAGCAGACTTTTCGTGCTGTTGAGGCTAGAGAGGTGCAGGTGAGCAGAGTAAGCCTGATTCCCCATTTGGATTGCTCTGTTGACACATCCGCCCCTTTGGGTTCATATGACCTTCTGCAGTTGCGAACGCCATAAAACCTTACTAAAACAAAACAGACAAAACAGAAAGAATGTTGCAAGTGCTGTGAAACTTTTACTATAAACTAAAAGACACAAATTACACACACATGATAAGATGTTGGGTCTTTAGGAGTTGGTTTTGTTTTCTTTCAATATTTTCTGAGAGCTAGATCTGGATAAAAGGCCTGACCAAATTACTGTACTGTCATCATGTATGCCTTATTAGTTATACATAGCCATCTTTACAGCTGAAAGTCTTGGTGTGTTAATCAGTATTTTAATTTTTGCAATTGTTTAAGCATTTAGTAAATATGTGTTCTAAAATGCTCTCTTAATTTTTGTAGTTAAAAATGTGCCATGAATTCTGACAAAGCTTATGTAATGTGCATTGTTATGGACAATTACTTTTTTTAAATTGGAAAGTGGAGGGGGACATTCGTCAGTTTTAGTTTTAGTATAATTAGCTGTTAATTGGCTATTTTTACTATGTCACTGAAACTCAATTGTACTGGTGTGTGTGGTTGGCGGATGCTCTTGTGTGGTTGTGATTCTTCTTTCCTTCTTCTCTTCCTATCAAGCACCTATCGTCCTTATCTGATCTCTCCCCCCCAGGGAAGTGCCACTGACTGTAGTGTCTTTAGGCCATTCCCAAAGGGGGGACATTTCTCGTTCAAGCACAGTAGAATTGTAAATGGGCTGATTCATCATGTCATGCTCATAACTGTGCCTGATCTGCAACAGGGTACTGCTGCTTTTTCTTTCCTAATCCTTATTATTGTCATTTTCCTCTACAGTGGAGTCCACTTATAACGAGTCCTGAAATTCTAAAACCCCGTTTTTTTCCCTTCTTTATCTTTGTAAATAAAATACTGCTATTGCGCCATCAGACCGTCACGCGAGTCGGTTATAGCGGAATAATGCTGCTGCTGTACACAGCAGACAGACCAATTAAACATATAAAACCTCGCCAGTTGAGAAAGTTGTTGGTGATCCAGCGAAACAAAGAACGGGAGAGCCCATGCGAACCAACAATGAAGGCCGCAGC